CAATAAAAGATCTGTCTGAGACGAACGCCTCGTCGTCATTGTAACGCTCGGCCAGATGTTACAATAAGTATTTATATTTTTTTAAAAGTCTTTATTAACATACATATATTATCATATCTGAAAAAATTAAGTTGTAGTTGTCATAAATATTAAAGTATTTGTCTGTTATTAACACCAAAGTACATCAATTTGACAGGTACAAAGTATATTTTGAAATAAATGCAAGAATCACATCATGTTGTAAATATGGCACGTTTTGGTTGTCAGCACACCAGTGTGTATATTTAACTGTGAAACTGCATTATTTTTGCGAAAATAATGCAGAAAATTACAGTATTGAATTGTAAAAAAATGTATGGCCCACAACAGTAACTATATTTAACTGTGAAAAACTATTTTTGGGGGGAAATAAATGCAAAAATCACAGTACCGAATGTTAATAAATATTACAGCAAGGCAATTTATTTTTTCAAGACAAAAATGTTAAAAGTACTGTACTTTCCTGATTTACTAATTTACGGTGAGTCATTGTTATATAAACAGTGTGAAACTGTTATAGAGTTTACAGATTTTTACTGTCACGGTTTGACATGTATTCACCGTATAGTTTACAGACATTTTAACAGTGTGGAAAATATACTTGGCAGAGAGACAATCTAAAACTTAGTATATATATAAGTCAACAAATTGTATTGACAAGTTAAATGGGTTGAATAGCACAAGCTAAAGGGACCAATGTGGACACCTGGTACTGATGTCTATGGCTTCTCTGTTTACATTTTGATAAAGTATGCAGTTTAAGCTGGAAATTACTTTTTTTATCTTAACTTGTAGTTTTTAATCTTTATTTAATAGAAAGTTTAGAAGAGTAAAAGATGATGATGGATATGTGATGATTCAGTTTAGTTCATATCAGATTTAGTGTCAAACTGTTTGACACAGTCGACTTGTACGATGTCTTCCGTGAACATAATCTTTCAGGTCAACTCTCAGTTAAAGCGCTGCGATGAGGACATGGTGGTCAGGTGGTGCAGTGGCTCTGCCTCGGACCAATTACCCCTAAAAAGAGTGACTGTGAATGTGTGTGACTGAGGAGGAATTGTGATCGAATCAGTGGGCAGTCTGAAACCTAACGGTGTAAACATACGGCTGCTGATCAGTTGAAGTAGATCACAAGACCAAATATTAAGAGTTTTTTTGTTTTGTTTTGTTTGAGGTTTTTTTGAGCAGCGTAAAATTAAACATTAAAAAATTGAATAAAATAAGAAATCAACATGGGGAACTTATGTAACAAAAAGACAAATACTTTGGAGTTTAAAGGAGATGTTAAGTACATGTCGAGGTACAATTCAGATTCATTCAAATTCAAATGTTTTCAAATGTAAAGATTTAAATAATTGGCAGAATTATGGTTTTAAAGGAAAATAAAAACAGGAAGACTGCAAAGAGCTTGTGCTTGCCATAAAAAGAGAGGCAAAAGACAATAAAAAAGAAAAGAAAGAGAAGCTTGGGCTGAGTGTGACTGAATGTTGGCTTCAACAAGCTTGTGCAAGAAAGAATGGAATAGCGCTAAAACACTTAAAAGCAGAAGCAATGGTTCAGAATAAAAAAACTACAATCAAGTAAGAAAAAACAATACTATATA